TCCAACAGATTTCTGTGCAGCCTTCACCACTCTCTGCAAAGCTTTTCTTTCTGCAGCTGTGCAGCCTCCATGCCACACGTTGATGCTGGAGCACAGGATGCTCTCCACTGCACACCTGGAGAAGGAGGTGAGGACTGAGCTTCCCAGACCAGCTCGTCTCAGCCGTCTGAGGAAGTAGAGTCTCTGATGAGCTTTCTTGATCAGGCTGGTGGTGTTGTTGCTCCAGCTGAGGTTGTCATTCATGTGTACACCCAAGTACTTGTACCTGGAGACCACTTCCACCGCAGATCCTCTTATGTTCAGGGGGGTGTAGGTGTTTTTGTTCCTTCTGAAGTCCACAATCATCTCCTTTGTCTTCTTCACATTGATGTGAAGGTTATTCTCTCTGCACCAGCTCTCCAGGTGTTCCACCTCCTGCCTGTAGCTGGACTCATCATTGTTTGTGATGCATCCCACCACCGCTGTATCATCTGCAAACTTTACAATGTGACAGCCTGGATGGGTAGCTGCACAATCATATGTGAGCAGAGTAAACAGAAGGGGGCTCAACACACATCCCTGAGCTCTAAATGTTGTCAGTGGTTATGCTCCACAGGTTGGATGCGATGTGGAGGAGAAAGATACATTTTGTAAAGATCTGGATGAAGTGATAGAGAGTATTCCCAGGGAGGAGAGAGTGGTGATGGAGCAGACCTGAATGGACATGTTGGTGAAGGAAACAGAGGATGAGGAAGTGATGGGTAGGTTTGGTGTCAAGGAAAGAAACCAGGAAGGAAACCTAGTGGTGGAATAGTGAAGTGCAGGAAGCTGTTCAAAGAAAGAGATTAGCCAATATGACAGAGAGAGGACTGAAGAGAGGAGACAGGAATATAAGGAGATGGGACGTAGAGCCAAGAGGGAGGTAGATAAGACAAAGCAGAAGGTGTATGATGAGTTGTATGGGAGACTGGACACTAAAGAGGGAGAGAAGGACTTGTACCGATTGGCAAGACAGAGGGATCAGGCTGGAAAGGATGTGCAGCAGGTTAGGCTTGTTAAAGATAGGAATGGTAATGTTCTAACAAGTGAGGAGAGTGTGACGGGAAGATGGAAGGAGTACTTTGAGGAGCTAATGAATGAAGAAAATGAAGGAGAAAGAAGAGTAGAGGTCATAGAAACTGTGGACCAGGAAGCGGGAAAGATCAGTGAGGGTGAAGTCCAGAAAGCTCTGAAAAGAATGAAGAAGGGGAAGACAGTAGGACCTGATGACCAGTGGAGGTTTGGAAATGTCTTGGAGAGATGGCAGTGAGGTTTTTGACTCAAATATTCAATGGCATATTTGAAGGTGAGAAAATGCCTCAGGAATGGAGAAGAAGTGTGCTGGTGGCCATTTTTAAAAACAAGTGTGATGTACAGAGTTGTAGCAACTACAGGGGAATTAAGTTGATGAGTCACACGATGAAGATCTGGGAGAGAGTTGTGGAAGCAAAACTTAGACGAGAGGTGACTATCTGTGAGCAGCAGGATGGTTTCATGTCAAGAAAGAGCACCGCAGATCCATCTTTGCTTTGAGGATGTTGATGGAGAAGTACAGAGAGGGTCAGAAAGAACTCCATTGTGTCTTTAGAAAAAACATATGACAGGAGATCATGTTAGACTGGTACAGGACATGTATGAGGACAGCATGACATGTATGAGGACAGCAGGACAGTGGTGAGATGTGCTGTAGGAGTGACAGATAGTTTCTAGGTGGAGCTGGGAGTGCATCAAGGATCTGCTCTGAGCCCCTTCTTGTTTGCTCTGGTGATGGACCGACTAACAGATGAGGTCAGGCAGGAATCTCCTTGGACTATGATGTTTGCAGATGACATTGTGATCTGTGGTGAGAAGAGGGAACAGGTGGAAGAGAACTTGGAGAGGTGGAGGTATGCACTTGAAAGAAGAGGAATGAAAGTCAGCCGTAGCAAGACAGAGTCCATGTGTGTGAATGAGAGGGAGGAGGTGGAACAGTGAGGCTACAAGGAGCAGAGGTCACAAAGGTGCAGGACTTCAAGGACTTGGGGTCCACTGTCCAGGAACATGGGGAGTGTGGTGAAGAGGTGAAGACGAGAGTCCAGGCAGGATGGAGTGATGGAGAAAAGTTTCAGGAGTGATTTGAGACAAAAGTGTGTCAGCAAAGGTCAAAGGAAAAGTTTACAAGACAGTGGTGAGACCAGCTATGTTGTATGGTCTGGAGACAGAGACATAGACAAAAAGACAGGAGACAGAGACATGGACAAAACGACAGGAGACAGAGACATGGACAAAACGACAGGAGACAGAGACATGGACAAAGAGACATGAGACAGAACTGGAAGTGTCAGAAATGAAGATGTTGAGGTTCTTCTTAGGAGAGACAAGGATGGAGAAGATCAGGAATGAGATCATCAGAGGTACAGCACAGGTTGAACAACTGGGAAATGAAGTTAGAGAGGACACACTGAGATGGTTTGGACATGTCCAGAGGAGTGACAGTGGTTTGGACATGTCCAGAGGAGGGACATTGGTTTGGACATGTCCAGAGGAGTGACAGTGGTTTGGACA